TAGTTTATGCACTATTTATTAATGGAATATTGTTTTTAACCAATCACTAACCTTCTATTTTTAAATAGAATAATTGAAAAAAAAAAACAGTCTTCTCACAGCTTAACAATGTCTTAAGTGAACACAATATCCATGAAAAATTCCTGTCAGGCTTCAGATTAAATCACAGGACAGCATTAGTGAAGGTAATGAATGTTCTGAGAATAAATGCTGAAGCAGGTGATGTTTTGGTACTTATGCTTCTGGATTTTAACTGCTTCTCTTCATATTTAACTGGAAGACAGTATTTTGTAAGCATAGGTGAACATATCTCAGATAAGCTTGATATTCTCTGTGGTGTACCACAAGGCTCTGTACTAGGTCCACTTCTGTTTTCTTTGTATATGCTGCCACTGTTTCAGATTATAGAGAAGCATGACATCACAGTTATGCAGATGATACATAACTGTATATATATTTATAGCTTCAGATGATGTCACTACAGTAGAAAAGCTCATAATATGTCTGTCCAGCATTGTCAGCTGGATGAATAGCAATTTTCTAAAGCTTAATGAAGAAAAGACCAAAATAATTATAATCAGTAGAGAAGCAAAGAGGAAAAATGTGTATGAAAGACTTGGAAATCTGGCTCTACAAATAAAAACTGAAGTTGGGAATTTTGGCATAACTGGACTCTGATTTAACTTTTAAACCACATATTAATAATGTTGCTAAAACTGCTTTTTATCATTTAAGGAATATAGCACAAGTTTGACCTTATGCTAAGAAATTGGTCCATGCTTTTGTTTATTTCTCAACTTGACTACTGTATGTTTGTTCATGTTCAGGATTATATAATGGAGAGAACGCAGACATGTGACCTGGTCATTCTGAATAGTCCCCATCCATCCCTGCCCAAGATATTCACAAGTAATTTAGAGTAAATTATATAAACGTGTTGACAATTAAGAAGATTTAAGGAAGAAGAGGAAGCAGAACTACAAAGTTATTCTGAGAGTGCTGTACATCACTGTAATTTACAGCATTTGGCAGACACTCTTATCTAGAGCGACTTACAATTCTGATCATTTTACACAGGTAGGTGATGGTAGTGTTAGGAGTCTTGCCCAAGGGCTCTTATTGGTATAGTGTAGGTGGGGGATTGAACCCCAGTCTACAAGTTAGAGGTGTTATCCACTACACTACACCAACCATGTTACATTCTGTTCTCCATCTCCTCAGATTACCTGAGTCCAGAGATGCTCTAAATTACTGGTGGGTTCATTTCAGGGCTGGGCAATATTTATCGTGATAAATTATGTCACAATACAACATAATATGTGTTTCTGAGTATATCATGGATATAATCGCTACTTAAAACACCGAAGAACTGCATGTTTGAATACAAAGAGAGCTTCTTTAGTCCAGTTTCGTTTGATTTAGTGCAGCAGTGTCTAAAATTTTGAACACAAATTATTGGATTCATAGATTTTCAGTGTTTTTTAATGTGGCTCAAATCTTAAAAAATGCATATTGTGCAATAACAACCACCTGAATCTACAGGACAGTGTGGAGGAGACCTCAGAGAAATGGCTGGTACAGAATGTTTGTTTTTTTAATATGATGGTGGCATTTGAGTAAGAATATACAGCAAACATGCAGATGTATCTTCATTTTTGTTGTTCTTACATACTTTGAAAACTCCTGTGGAGAAACGTATGACAAATGTACATGAACAGAATGGGCTACAATTGAACTGGTTTGAATAGACTGGAAACAGTAAACTCTTACAAGTAAAGGTTCCTACAAGGTTCTTGGAGGTTATTATGTGTAAAACACATTCATAACCTTTTGTGTAATAACTTTACAGGCTGCAGCTTTTAGAACCATAAAATGCCTCAGACGTCTGGTTCCTAGTACTATAATGGTGAACAATTCTGACTCTGTAAGTTTCTCTAGAAGGGTGCATTTCACACCGAACCACTCTGAATGATTTTGTTTACATCTAAACCACTGATGATTAAGTAATTTTACAAAATCGGTGGAGTTCCCCTTTAACTTAAGATCTGACAGGTCAAGATAAGATTTTTCACAAATTTGTATTACAGAAGCAAATCTGACCTTAATTTAGGCATCTTATCTTATCTTACAGCATCTTTTCTTATCTCAAGTTAAGAAATCTTAACTTACTCGATTGAAATCGACAATCGTCATGTCTGTTACCTAGCAACCAACCATATGTGCACAGCTGAAACGTAAACATGTAATCAAAATAATCAAGCTAGTTAGCCAGACAGCCAATGTCACTGATGTACAAAAGTAAAACAGGTAAAACAGAACTAAAGTGTGATAAGTTGTGAATACTGTGAGAGCGCACACTGCTGTTTATCAGAGCGTCGGCGCTCCCCAGTTTCAGTCTCCATTTCCCAACCGTTATTCCTCCTAATAAACAGACACACGTTCAGCTCTGTCTCCTCATTATTCACCACCATCACTGTAATATTTCATCATCAACAGTAACACAGGAAGGTGATCAGAGGGACGGTGGAGATATGCTAGTAGTGAACTATACTGCCTGGCACAGCTGCCTAAAAACCATAGAAACAGATGGTTAAACAGAAGTTAAGACCCTGTTGACAAAATTACACTGCATATCAGTAAGCAGGTGTAAAAAGTAGCAAAAGTAGTAAAAAAGTGATAATTTACTTGAGTACAAGTAAAAGTACTAATAAAGAGAATTATTCAAGTAAGAGTAAAAAAAGTGGTTTATTGGTAAACTACTTGAGTAACTCGAGTAAAATGCACTGAACATGGTACAGTAACAAGAGTAATGAGAATAAATGCATTTGGTTGCACTAACAGAATATTCCTAATGAGGCACTTAAACTTTATTTGCTCATAGATAGATAGATAGATAGCCAGATTCAACTTTGTCATTGCTTAGTAGCAACGAAATATAAATATATATAATATATGTACATACATACACACACTTACATACATACATACATATTTAATCAATAGAACATGAGAGGGAGTGTGTTATGGCAAAATAACGTCACGGCTGTGATTTGGTCACCGTAGATCATCACAGCCATGATGTTATAGCGATAACTATATAAATATCCTTTGAGTGTTCTATTGCTTTTATACAACCACCCTGTGAAAGACTGCACCATCAAATAGTGCAACGATTCAAGAATAACGTTTCTCAACATAAAATAGCAAATAACTTCTTTTCATCATCTACGGTACATAATAACATCAAAAGATTCAGAAATCTCTGTATGTGAGGGACAAGGCCAAAAACCAGTATTTGCTGGCCGTGATGTTTGGGCCCTCAGAAACCATATATATAAACAGGATCCAGAAATGCTGCCACCTTCTCTGGGCCTGAGCTCTGGGACTGAGGAGAAGTGGAAAAGTGTCCTTCAGTTGCTTTGTACTATTTTCAATGAAATATAGGATTTAAATGATTTTTTTATTTACATTTTGCACAGCGTCCCAACTTTTTTGTAAATGGGGTTGTAAAATAATAAGCAGTGGTATATTATTTATTAGCAATTTTATTAGCAATGCCTACCTTGAGCCTCTTATTGCCGACTAAAACATCAGGTTGCTAAACATTTGAACAGTGTGAACATTTTTCAGCATCGACTTTTATACCCTTTACAGTTTTACTAGTGAGCAAAAATGCTGCCTATGTAGAAACTCACTAAATATTGAGACAGACTGATATTCAGATTGAGTTCAATCAAAACATGACCTGAATGCAAAAGTGCAAACTAGGAGGCTAACAAAATAACAAATACTGGACCTGGCTGTGTTGGAGTCTGTCAGGAGGACCTTTGTGAAATGACAAGCACAAAGTTTCACAAACTGGTAGGTAAAACAAAACAGAAACTACAATGTACAATGAGATAAATGCAACAAAAAGTAGTGAAGCATTTATTTAACTTTCATTCTTGTAGTTTAAACACATGTTAAGTGTCAGCTGATATTATTAGGTATAATATTGTATAAAAATGAGAACAGAATATACAGAAATGTACCGTTTTCACTTCGCTGCATACGTTATCATAAATAAACAGAGTTGTAGTCATCTTGAAGTCTAATTTTGATGCCAGCAACACATTCCAAAAAAGTTGGGACGGGGGCCTGTTTACCACTGTGTTTCATCACCTCTTCTTTTAACAACACCCTGTAAGCGTTTGGGAACTGAGGAGACACTGCTGTAGTTTCGAAAGTGAAATGTTTTCCCATTCTTACTTGATATAGGATTTCAGCTGCTCATCAGTTCAGGGTCTCCTTTGTCATATTTTTCATTTCATAATGCGGCAAATGTTTTCAGTGGTGACAGGTCTGGACTGCAGACAGGTCAGTTTACCACCCAGACTCTTTTAATACAGAGCAATGCTGTTGTAATACATGCAGAATGTGGTTTTACATTGTCTTGCTGAAAAAATCAAGGCCTTCCCTGAAAAAGATGTCGTTTGAATGGCAGCATATGTTGCCATAACCTGTATATATCGTTCAGCATTAATGGTGCCTTCACAGATGTGCACATTACCCATGTGCATTAATGCCCCCCTATACCATCATTAATACTGGATTTTGAACTGTGCACTGATAACAAGCTGAGTGGTTTTTAGCCCGGAGGACACAGTGTCCATGATGCAACACCAACAGTGTTTTTCAGAAGTGTTTCTGAGCCCATGCAGTGATTTCCACTACAGAATCAGGTCTGTTTTTAATGCAGTGCTGCCTGAGGGCCCAAAGATCACAGTCAGCAAATACTGGTTTTTGTCCTTGTCCCTTACATACAGAGATTTCTCCAGATTCTCTGAATCTTTTAATGACATTATGTACTGTGGATGATGAAAAACAAAAGTTCTTTGCTATTTTATGTTGAGAAACATTATTCTTGAATTGTTGCACTATTTGATCATACAGTCTTTCACAGAGTGGTGAACCCCTCCTCATCTTTACCTATGAAAGACTCCGCCTCTCTGGGATGCTCTTTAAATCCAATCATGTTACTGAGTTGTTGCCAATTAACCACCAGGTGTTTTACCAGCCTTTTGTTATCCCCTATCCCAACTTTTTTGGAACATGTTATTGGCATCAAGTTCGAAATGGGGAAATATTTTTAAAAAACTATAAGATTTCTTGGTTTCAACATTTGATGTGTTTGTAGTGTTTTCAATGAAATATAGAATTAAAATTATTTGCACATCATTGCATTTTGTTTTTATTTACATTTTGCACAGCATCGCAACTTTTATAATAATCACACTGATTTTTGATTAAGTTAAGCTTATCTGTTGTTGGTTGTGCTGTTGTTTCTCTGTTGATTGTCCTCTTGGTTGTTGTGTGTGACCCTCTTGGTCAGGGCTCAGTTTTAAAAGAGATTTCTAACGCCAGTGTTTCTACCTTGGTTAAATTAAGGTGAAATAATAATAATAATGAAGAATCAAATGTCAGACACCGAGCATAATCTGATCAACTACATTTGGAGTAATGGGGTAAACTAGATGTTTTGTTGAACAGTCGCTTTAAGATACAGACTGTGAGGATCTTCTCTGAGTGCTGGTGTTGATATTCAGCAGTAACAACCTCCTCAGCTGAGTCATCTCACTGAGAGTCATAGCAGTCATAAGGCTGTAGAATACACACACATTGAGTTTAGTTCATTATTAGAAAGAATTTAAGAAATGTACTGAAATAAGATAATGAACACAAACTGAGGCAATTAATCTTATTATTATTATTACTGAGACATGTAATTATGAAATTATTAAAAGAAAAAAAAACGACGGCTAGTCTATGGCCCTTTAATAACAGGTATCACTAGAGGTTACAGCTATGCTTGAGTAACACAAACAAAATCTGTTTTAAAGAGCTGCCACAGTGCTAACAAATAACATGTCACATAAATGGGTGAATTGACTGACATTATTACTTGAAAGTACTAAGCAAATCTGAGAAAGTCAGTGAGTGCCATGGATTTACACAACAGCACCAACCTCTCACTGCTGTCGGAACAAAACCTCCATTTTTTGTCAATTTTCAGTTTTTGACATAATTTGAAATGCCTGTTGTTCTTCATATTGTGTATGAGTTTCATGAAGGATGGACCAAAAGAAATGACCAAAAATGACTTGGAAAAAAGTCTGGTTCCATTGACTTACATTGAAAGTAATGCATGTTTTTTCCTTCTCCTGTAAAGTCACCATTTTGGAGATACGAAGTTTTGTTCTGACAACAGCGCTATGACTTTGAATAGAGAGAGAAGAGTCTTACCCAGATCACACCCAGATAGCCCTCGAATTCCAGCTTCCTAAAAATGGAAAAAAGTCACATTCTAGTTTATTTGAGGATGAGTACATGACTGTAAAGTTATGAAAACATTAGTATATGACTGTAATATTCTGAAAACATTAGTATATCACTGTAAAGTTATGAAAACATTAGTATATGACTGTAAAGTTATGAAAACATTAGTATATGACTGTAATATTCTGAAAACATTAGTATATCACTGTAAAGTCATGAAAACATTAGTATATGACTGTAAAGTTCTGTAAACATTAGTATATGACTGTAAAGTTATGAAAACAGTATATGACTGTAAAGCTAATTTACATATGCATTTATGATCTACATATGCACTGTGGCAGTTTGCACATTCATGTGTGTGAGGAGCGAGAGGCGGCGTAAGCAGCAGGAAGTTCAGTGTCCTGTAGAGTATAGGACTGAACACAGTTTGGGAACCACTGGTGTAAAGTAAATAAACTAATACTGGCAGTTTGGAATTTATGTTCTTCATTTGATCCACATTGAAATTATTTGATTTGATTTACCAAACTCAGGGAGAGAGATGGATGTAGAGCGGAGCTGCCCTGTTAAAGAGACACAACAGAACCACAGACAGTGGAAAAGATTAGTCTAAATCTTCTGTTACAGCTTTTTAAACATTCTCAGATTAAGAAGGTATTAATAACACCATCAAAAGAAAACAGAAACATGGCACAACACAGTGGTGTAGTTAGATCACAGAGCTCGTACAGTCATATGCAAAAGTTTGAACACCTCTGGTTAAATTACAGAACATGTTACTGTTGATTTTCTAAGTGAAAATAACACAACATAAAAATAACAACCTCCACAGAGAATAACTTAAATATGACATTTATCTGCTAATTTCAGCCCACAAATTTGATTTGTCTGCTGAAAAGAAGAGAAAACAAACACTGTATCACACTGGACGCTTGGAATTTCCTGTGTATAAATAAAGCAATAAAAAAGAAAATCAACAATCATGGAATTTGACGAGGGGTGTGCAAACTTTTGCACATGACTGTAGATCAGTGATGTCTGTAACAGATCAGTTTAGTAACAGATGATCTACAGAAGATCAGACTGTGGATGTGTTTGTTCTGATTGGTGTGGATTCAGGGTTTAGTGGACGTTTGCTTCACGACCAGGTGATGATCTCACCACCAGCTGTGGTCAGTCTTGCAGTCCGAGTCAGTCTGACTTGAGTGAGCTTCTGACCATCATCATCATCATCATCATCCTCAGCTGACAGAGAGCGAGAAAAGAGTCTGATTCAGCTGATAGACTTTCAGACCCTCAATGTGGCGTAATAATTGTATATTTTGGAGACGGAAAATGAAACAAAAATAAAAATAACCAACATTACCCAGATCTGTAGAAAAGTCTACTGAAGCAGTGGAACCTTCTGTAAACAAACAGTAAAAGCTCAGTGAACAGCAGGAATAAACACTGAGTGACGAATATAAAATGTGTCCCATCAGATTAATGACGTAATAATGATATGATGCAGATAATGAAAATGAAATAAAATAAAAATAACCAACATTACCCAGATTTGGACGTGGTAAATCCATTGAAGCAGTGAATCTTTCTGTAAAGAAACAGTAAAAGCTCAGTGAACAGCAGGAATAACACTGAGTGACGAATATAAAATGTGTCCCATCAGATTAATGACGTAATAATGATATGATGCAGATAATGAAAATGAAATAAAATAAAAATAACCAACATTACCCAGATCTGGACGTGGTAAATCCATTGAAGCAGTGAATCTTTCTGTAAAGAAACAGTAAAAGCTCAGTGAACAGCAGGAATAAACACTGAGTGACGAATATAAAATGTGTCCCATCAGATTAATGACGTAATAATGATATGATGCAGATAATGAAAATGAAATAAAATTAAGATAACCAACATTACCCAGAGCTGGAGGTAGTTTATCCATTGAAGCAGTGAATCTTTCTGTAAAGAAACAGTAAAAGCTCAGTGAACAGCAGGAATAACACTGAATGAAGAATATAAAATGTGTCCAGTCAGATTTATAACATAATAATTATATGATTTAGATATTGAAAATGAAATAAAATTTAAATAACCAATATTACCCATATACGGAGGTAGAAACTCTCTTGAAGAAGAAAAACTTTCTGTAAAGAAACAGTAAAAGCTCAGTGAACAGCAGGAGGAAACACTGAGTCTGGAAATGTGTTTAATTTGTTATCACTGTGGCTTTAATTAGATTATATTATAATTAGATTATATAGTCTTTGATTAGATCATTTCTTGTACACAGAAAGCAGCAACTATAGTCGTACACAAAAGTCTGAGTGTGAATAAGTGAACACAGGGAACATTAAGGAATCCACTTCTGTACATATTAATACACAGTTACTGTTTATTTACTGAGTTTATCATACTGGGAAAACATCAAGACATAAAATGTGGACTGTGAGAATATGATAAACTAAAGAAATTAGCAAAAAAAGTCATATTTAAGTGTTAATTTATTTATATTTAGACACATGGAATTTGACCAGAAGTGTTCAAACTTTTGCATCGTAAACATGGTCTTCTCGTGTTGCAGTGACCGCTGTGGTGGGCAGATACGTGATGTAAAGTGAACAGAGGAATAAAAAGTAGCAGAGCTGAACTCACTCTGAGTCTGAACTGCATCTCCTCCATCCTGGTCATCATTCATCATCACTGAAAGAGGGAGAAGATCATCAACATCTCCTCTCATGAAACACCATCTGTCTACAAATGGATCACTGATTGTTCCAGCTGTGAATTGAAAGATCCAGCTGTGAATTTAAAGATCCAGCTGTGAATTAAAAGCTCCAGCTGTGAATTAAAAGCTCCAGCTGTGAATTTAAAGGACCCTTAAGAATTGAAAACTGTATTTGAAATTGTGTTAAACTGTATTAAAATGGAACAATGATGATTACAGACAAGTGAAGTGGTGGTCAGAACTTGGGTCTTTTCTTTGGGTTAACAAGAAATTCTATTGACAGAAAAAAATCTAATTGTAATAATAATAATAATAATAATAATAATAATAATAATAATAATAATAAACAGCAGTTAAAATAATTGCTTTAACATTGTTTTGTAATAATCCCTGACACACCAGATAAAATTAAAAAAGAAAAACCCAACCAAATGAAACAACAACCCACTCCATCACTGGATGAGTGATATGGTGAACTGCTGGCATATCAAGTTATTTTGTTATTTTGTGTTTATCTGCCAACAGATTAAGTGATTGATCCATTCAAATGCTTTCAGCAGTTGCTGAATATCAGTATCATCTGCACCTGAGTATTTCTTTTACACTGCCAGTGTATGAGAACATATAAACAGCCTGTTTTTGTTCTCACCATCTGAATATCCTCTGTGGGCATCTTTAACTGGAGGTATCACAACTTTTCCTTTTGCTATTTTTTTCATAAGAAGTGCAAAAGCCATCGCAACAGCAACACCGGCAATTACTATGCATGAGAGAACTGAGAATAACACAATTCCCTCTTTTCCTTCATTTTCTTTCTTCCCCTTCTGTGTGCTGTTTGTACTGCCCTCATCACAATCTTCTGGTTTATCACTAGGAACCACACTAGAAGTCCTTTTTCTAATGTCCTCATCATAAAATTTCAGGTAAGACTGCAGTCTGTCTGTACAGCCTTGCTGCAGATAGTCCTTGATGATTTGATTGGAGTGGGTTAAACTGTTCCACTCTGTTTTAACTGCTAGGAACCTTTTGTCCAGCACTTCCCACTCATCTCTGTCAACATTAAAGCGGAGGATGATCTTTCCATTGAGTCTGAATTCAGCTGTAGTGCTCAGTAAGGTCACAGCTCCACTAGAGGATCTCTCAACCTCACAGCCGTATCTCTGTGTAAGGTCACTGTCAGTATCTGAAATGCAGACAAACATCATTTATTTATAGTCTTTAACACACAGCTCACCATATACATTTCTAATATTATACATACTCAGAGTGTTTTAATATGATCAAACTTATCACCAAACTTTAGAACTGATACCTTTTAGATGGTGGTAGAGCTCTTTAGAATAATTACGAAATGTGTAATCCACATCCTTCATTGTTATTCCCCAGTGAGAGTACGTCCAGGAACCAGTTCTTTTTTGGACGAAACAGTAGATCTCCACACCATCAAACTGGACAGTGGACTTCATGATCCAGTTGTTGGAGTGATTGCTGTAGGTGTGGTATAAGGAGTGTCTCTCTGTGGGACAGACACAGAACAGTAAATAAATCACCCAGCAGACAGAACAACTGCTTAAAAACGGCCGAGCTAAACAGTCTCTTGAAGAGATGTACTGAACAGCTGGATAAACTACTTGATCATTAGAATAATAATTGGTTTAATTTAATCTGAGATTAACTCAGTGTCTGCACCTTTAAATGAAGAATAAAATTTAGAGAGCACTTTATTTTATGGTGTGGTAAATATCTAATATTTATAAGGTAAATATGTAGTACTTACACATCAGTACCTTCCAGGTATGTACAGCAGTACACAGAAATTAAAATGAGTATTTATTAGTACTTCTGTGTGAGTACTGCTGTACGTACCTGGCATGTACTGACACTACATATTTTCCTGTGTGCAATATAATCAATACTCCATGTGCAATATTTGTAAACTATCTCTATAGAGTAAAGACTTTTTCTTGTCTATTTATAATGTTTATATTGTTAACTCCTCACCATCACATGTGTAACATAAACCAGTCCCTCATGTACAAAACTCTACTTATTTATAATCCTTTATATTGTTACTTTTTGTGGAGTTTATATTTTTTATCTTATTTTTTTTAGCCTTTAATAGCTTTTAATGCAAAAGTTGCATGGTAATGGCAAGTACTACCTGCTAAGTAACTGCTTAAGGAAATACATGTCTATGTCATAAAAACAGTAGGTTACAGTTAGAGATGACCAACAAAAGACTGTACAAATTGCATGATACGTTCCATTGAGTACTCAGTACCTCTGCTCTAGTACATTCATTATATGAAATGGTATGTTTACTGGTAAGTTCTCTGTAATATGATGGAAACAGGGCTGTAACTTAATACATAAAGTTGCCCTCAAAATATTGTAGAAAGGTTCCCAGAGGAGTGGACGCTGTTACAGCTGCAAAGGGGGACCAACTCCATATTAATGCCTATAGATTTAGAAAGGGATGTCACAAAAGCTCCTGTAGGTGTAATGTGTAGGTGTCCCAATACTTTTGTCCACATATTGTACAGTAAATACACCAGACAAAAAAATATACAGAACAGTAAATACACAAGACAAAAAGTGTCAGTATACAGTGATTGTAAAGGGGTGTGATTAGTCTATGGTGGGTGGTGTATCTAGACTAGTCCAGGTGCATGTTGGGGGTATCAGTGCATTCAGTAATCTGACTGCCTGTGGGAGGAAGCTGTTGGAGAGTCTGGTGGTGGTGGAATGGATGCTCTGGTACCTCCGGTAGGAGGGTGAAGAGTTCATCAGAGAGATGAGAGGAATCGTTCATAATGCTGGTGGCGTTGTGGATGCAGCGCTTGTGGTAAGAGGTGTCAGTGTTGGGTAAAGACACCCCGATGATCTTCCCAGCTGTCCTCACAATTCTCTGTAGGGTCAGAGACTGTGCAGTTCTTATAGCAGATATACCAGACCGTGAGACAGCTGGTCAGGACACTCTCTACTATCGCCCTGTAGAATGTAATGAGGATGAAAGGGGGGTTTGCTCTCTTTACCCTTCACAAGTATCTGGTAATGCTATTCGGGCTCATGAATGCCCCCCGTGGTCTTCCAGCGCTTTACCAATGAGGTCCTGCGTGAGGCTCTGAACCACTACATGTTCGTCTACCCTGACAACATTCTCATTTACAGACATTCAGTAGACGAACATGTGGTCCATGTCTGGTGGGTTCTCCGGTTTTTGCTCGAGAATCACCTCTATGTGAAGCTGGAGAAGTCACTCTTCCATGCTCAATCGGTCAACTTTTGGGGTTTGTGGTATCTAAAGGCTGGTTGAGCATGGACCCAGCCAGCATTCTGCCCCACTTCCCTCTTCTCCACCAAAAGCTTTCTGGGTTTTGCTAAATTCTTTCGCTGGTTCATCTGGAACTTCAGCATGGTGGCTGCCCCACTGATGGCCCTCACAGAAAAAAAACACGGGGCGGTTCCAGTGGACCCCGGAAAGCTTTTGAAGAATTTAAGTGTCGCCTGACCTCCCTGACCCCACTCTACCATTCATAGTAGAGGTTGACATGTCCGGCGATGGCATAAGGGCAGTGTTATCCCAGTGCTCTGAGTCCAACCACAAACTTCAACCTTGCACATTCTTTTCTCACTGCCTCACCCCGGCAGAACGTAATTATGATGTAGGGGTTCGAGAGCTCATAGTGGTGAAACTGGCTGGAGAGCACAAAGCATCCCTTCCTGGTCTGGACAGGTCACAATAACTTGGCTTACATTCAACAGGCCAAGCATCTAAATCTATGCCAGGCCAGGTGGACAATGTTCTTTAGCTGATTTGATTTCGTGCTATTGTATTGGCTGGGCTGAAAAAATCTCAAGCTCGACACGCTCTCCAGACAGCAGGACACGCCCCCCTATTGCCCCTTGCACTGGGGGGCTGGAGACCGAAATCTAGGGGACACTTCAGACAGATCCAGATCCAGGGAGGTATCCCCAGGTCGGCAGTACATTCTGTCCTCCACCCGAGCTTAAGTTCTCGAGTGGGGGCAAACATCCCCTTTTATGTGCCATCCGGGGGCAACTTGCACACTCAAGTTTCTACAGAGATGCTTCTGGTGGCCTAGGATGGAGAAGAATGTACATGCCTACGTAGCAGCCTGCCAGGTATGCATTCAACACAAGGAGCCTAGAACACAACTGGCAGTCTTGCTCCATCCCCTTCCCATACCGTCTCAAACCTGGTCCCACATCTCCCTGGATTTCATCACCGGGTCGCCCGCATCACAGGGCAACATGGTGATTATTGTTATAGTAATTACTATTACAGCACGCGGTAAGGGTCCATGGATTCCCGACCAACGTGGTGTCTGGCCATGGATTTTAATTCACCAGTTGGTTCTGAAAAGCTTTTGCCAAATGCTGGGGGCTTTGGTGAGCCTTTCCTCAGGTTTCCACCCTCAGTCTAATGAGCAAACTGGGATGTCAACTCAACTCGATTTTTATTGTCTAGCTTCTACAATGTTCCACCCACCAACCATTAGCACCACATCACAAATCATAGCAGTCTATTCATTAAAAACAATAGTATAAGATATTTGAATTTAGCTTAACCTGTCCACATAGCTAGTATTAGTTTGATCAGAGTCAGCAGAGGCCGAGGGTACTATCGCTAAACAGATCAGCTATTAACAAAATGACTGATCTGGACAAGAAACTCGGATGCCTCTGAGTATTTTGGAAGATATCATTCCAGTCTAACAGCAAAGCCTACTGTACAGACAGCACTGAATCTTGGATTAACATATGAAGCAAGCTCAGCAAGAAGGAAGGAGTAAATTGCACAGCTAATTCATTTGAACGGGATCTTACAACAAAATTTCACCATAGGAAACAGCAAGAGACACTACTGAGGATATTCAAAGCAACTTCACGGCTGCATCATTTCTCAAGGTAGGACAAAGATTTGTTTATTTTTTGTCAGTGTGCTTTGCAGTATTTAAGCAGGGAGCTGTTACGATCAAGTGACATTAAAAGGTGAGAAAAAAGGCTACAAAGCCGGAGTTCTGTGTAAGAGTGGTGATTCTCATCAACAGCGTCATTAGTGCTTTGTGTTTGGACGTCACTGGGTAAGCTGGATAAAGGAGTTTACAGTTTTACTTGGTTTCCATGTGTGGCTGGTGTTGGTATGCAGCTGTTTATAAAAAGGCTTTTTGTTAAAATACACCAGAGGTGGGTTTGGCGTAGCCACAAAGATAGCCTTGCAGAAGAGTAGGTCATCCCCACTGTGATGATTGTGAGGCTGTGTTTCTTTCAAAGGACCTGGACAGTTTGTTTGCATACATGGTATCACAGACTCCAAGTACCTCAAGTACCAGCAGATATTTAATCAGAAAATGACTGGCTCAGCCAGGAAGCTTAAACTAGGCCATAATTTGGATCTTTCAGCAGGACAATGATCTAAAGCACAGCTTAAAATGAACACAAAAAGGTACACTGTGTCATGAGGTGGCAAGGGAGTGGACCCTGTCAGATGGGGTTTAAATGAACTAAGAGTGTATGATTTATTGCATATAGATTTTATGAATATAAATAATGTAATTAATTTTGATGAGTGTGCATGAGCTTGTATCTGATAGTTCACGTTTGGTGAGAGAACTCTGAGCAGGGATTCAAGTTCAAGAGGCTTTAATGTCATTTCAGCTACATATCAGTACACAGTGAAATGAAACAACATTCCTCCAGGACCATAGTGCACGGACTGAACCCTTACACACTGACCACAGAATCAAGGTTTTGCCATGGGCACCCCAGACCCCTGACCTAAACCCCACAGAAAACCTGAGGGATGAGCTGAAGAGGAGAGTCTGGTGTGAAGCTCTGAATCTGAAGGATCTAGAGAGGTTCTGTATGGAGGAACAGTCTCAGATCCTTTACCAAGTGTTCCCCAGCGTCATTAAGTGTTATAGGAGACGACTCAGAGCTGTTATCATTGCAAAGGGAGGCTGCACAGAGTAATAAGTAAGAGGTTGTCAACCTTTGTGGCACAGACTGATTTAAGAACAATATTTATTTAATGATAATATTTAGTTGATTAATTCATTTTTTATTTCAATCATTGTACTTCAAATAAAGGTTTGAGTTTTGTTAATATTCTGAAGGAAAGATCAAAATGATCAGAAATAAAGAATGTTTTTATAGCCCATTTTGTTCTTGTTTAACAGAGGTGCCAATATTAGTGGGGGTATAGTAGTAATTACTGTGTAACAACACACCTTAACTTAGACACACTGCCATCACATTACAGAGGACCTACTAGTACAAACACAGAATAACATGGAATAAATGGCCATAGTGAAAAAAGGTACCCAGTACTGTTTGATACAAGTTTAGTACCTTTGTCACCTGTACTTACCTACTCTTCACTGTACTTTCCACTATAATAACTTCTTAGCATTAAATACTGAAATATACCTAGTTTTTCTAGTATCTAAGTATTTATGAATCTGCACCGTCTGCACAGAGTTTTTCTTGTTTCTGAGTAGTTATTGCATTACAGAAATAAGTACTGATGTAGTTTTCATATACATTAATATGCCTTTAGTCTTTGTCGAGCTAAACATTATAAAATTACACTGACTCAGTCCAGCTAAAGATAAATAACGCTAAGAATTATTAAAAAATACAACTTATAAAAGGGAAACAATTTAATGAAACTTCTGTATTTTCTGCTTTGTGGACATTTATGTCCCTCAACTTTAGAGAAAATATAATTGCAGCGTATTTTAGACATTTCAGATTAGCATGCTGGGAATTATTCGGCCCATTCTGTTTTTATTTTGGTCACTTTTACCTGCTGTACATAAGAAACAAGAGACCCCCCAGTACTCACACTTTGACTGATTTCTGAGGACTAATGTGTTTCTATTGAATCATATTTAACAGGTTTAACAGAGTAATTTTGCACATTATTGTGAAGAAAATTAGGTTTTATGAAAATCAGACCCTTAACTGACTGTATTAGTGCTCCTATGATGAATTCAGAATATATACTATAGGGACAAAATTATTGAGACACCTACACATCACACCTACAGGAGCTTTTATGACATCCCATTCTAAATCCTCTGGAGAGAGTCTGTGGGAATTTCTGTCCATTCATCCAGAAGAGCATTTGTGACGTCAGACACTGATGTTAGACGAGAGGGCCTGGCTCACAATCTCCGTTCTAGTTCATCCCAAAGGTGTTTGATGGGGTTGAGATCAGGACTCTGTGAGGGCGAGTCAAGTTCTTCCACACCAAACTCACCCAGCCAGGCCTTTATGGAGCTGCTTTGTGCACTGGGGCTCAGTCATGCTGGAACAGGAAAGGTTCTTCCCCAAACTGTTCCCACAAAGGTGGAAGTGTATAATTGTCCAGAATGTCTTGGTGCTGAAGCATTAAGATTTCCCTTCACTGGAACTAAGGGTTCTAGACCCACCCCTGAAAAACAGCCCCATATCATCATCCCTCCTCCACCAAACTTTACAGCTGGCACAGTGCAGTCAGGCAGGTAACGTTCTCCTGGCATTCACCAAACCCAGACTCGTCCATCAGACTGACAGATAGAGGAGCTGATTCATCACTCCACAGAATACGTTTACACTGATCCAGAGTCCAGTGGTGGCGCTTTACTCCACTCCATCCGACGCCTGGCATTGTGTTTGGTGATATAAGGCTTGCATGCAGCTGCTCAGCCATGGAAACCCTGCCATGAAGCTCCCAGCTCAGTTTTTGTGCTGATGTTGATGCCAGAGGAGGTTTGAACTCTGCAGTTATTGAGTCAGCAGAGCATTGGAGACTTTTATGCTCTAAGCTCCTCAGCACTCTGCGACCCGCTCTGTAACTTTACATGGTCTGACACTTCGTGGCTGAGTTGCTGTGGTTCCTAAATGCTTTTACTTTTCAATAATACACTCACAGTTGATGGGGGAATGTCTAGGAGGGAAGAGATTTCACAAACTGACTTGTTGCAAAGCTGACATCCTGTTACAGCTCCACGCTGGAATCCAGTGAGCTCTTTAGACCCATTGTTTCACTACTGTGTGTAAAGCCAGGCTGCATGGCTAGGTACTTGATTTTATACACCTGTGGCAATAAGACTGAATGAAACACCTGAATTCAATGATTAAGAGGTTTGTCCCAGTACTTTTGTCCATATTGTGTGTGTCACTCATATATGAAAAGGATTGGTGCTACAGAGGAGCATATGTGGATAAAGTGATGAATCTTGTTAGACAGAGGGAAAAGGTAGAGGGGGCAGTGAGGGGGGAAAGTGCCACATTAGACCAAGTAATAAGCTGAATGTAAGTTACGCACCTTTACCACAGCGTCCAAAGGTTAATGGAAATTCCATTGAGGGGTTTTTCCCTTGAGGCAAACAACCACCTAATACTAAACAGAAAATATAGTAATTCAGGCAAAAATTCAGTATGAAAAATTATTAATTAATTCAGGTGCTGTTCATTTTCAGTTGGAAGCAGTATGTATAAAACACACTGCCTCTAGTATTGTCACATATAGACCCTAACTTTCACACAGAGGTTTTACTTAGAAAGCATTTCCAATTTTATGTCTGAATAAAGAAAGACCACTTAAAGATCTAAGAAATGTAAAAAAAATCTAGCTGTCTTTAAAAAATGTTATAGAGATTCAGATCAAGCTCCCAACCTACACAACTAATTATAGTCTGGACTATGTGAACCAGTTTTAAAGCAGACACACACATTTACAATATTAAATACTGGGATGGGATCTGGCACAGACAGCTGGGACAGTTTGGCCTGCAGTAGCTCTGGTGCTGTGTAAATGTAAATGTAAATGAATGCTGGTTTGTAGTCTATCTCAGTACAGAAGTACACTAAAAGTAGGCTCAGTCTGCCTACTAATCAGTAATTATTTAGTCTAACAGATACAGTACTACAGTTTTGTCCTCTACAGGTTCTCCTCTTTTTAAAACCACTTAATACACTTGTTATTTTAATTTTATGCAATCGGACTGAAGACCACCTGGATGGGCCAGAAGAATACTGAAATAATGCTGTGTGGACAGATAAGGCAAAAATAGATTTTTATGGCTTAAATGAGAAAAAAATGAACACTGCATTCCAGCCTAAGAACCTCACCCCAACTGTGAAACATGGTGGTGGCAGTATCACGGTTTAGGACTGTTTTGCTGCTACTGGACCAGGACTACTTGCACTGATTCTATGATTTTATTTGAGGTATGAATTCTGAATTGTATCAAGTAACTCTATAGGAGAATTTCAGGGATTCCATCCATGAACTGAACCTCAACAGAAAGTGAGTCTATTTCTTTAACTTTTTGCAAATATATCCTGCATTATTTGTTTTATCGAATATTTTATTGTTAAACTTTTACAATCCATTTCCAAAAAAGATGGGATGCTGTAAAAAATGAAAATAAAAACAAAATGCAATGATGTGCACATCATTAAAACCCTATATTTCATTAAAAATGCTTCAAAGACAACACATCAAATGTTGAAACTGAGAAATTTTATAGCTTACTGAAAAATATTAGGCCATTTTGAATTTTATGCCAACAACACGTTCCAAAAAAGTTGGACAGGGGCAACAAAAGGCTGGTAAAGGTGTGTAATGCAAAAAACCAAAACACCTGGTGGTTGATTGGCAGCAGGTCAGTAACAAGATTGGGTATAAAAACACATCTCAGAGAGGCTGAGTCTTTCAGAAGTAAAGATGAGGAGGGGTTCACCACTCTGTGAAAGACTACACCATCAAATAGTGCAACAATTCAAGAATAACCTTTCTCAACATAAAATATCAAAGAACATTTTCTTTTCATCATCTTCAGTACATAATAACATTAAAAGATTCAGAGAATCTGTAGAAATCTCTGTATGTAAGGGACAAGGCCAAAAACCAGTATTTGCTGGCCGTGATGTTTGGGCCCTCAGATGGCATTGCATTAAAAACAGACCTGATTCTGTAGTGGAAATCACTGCATGGGCTCAGAAACACTTCTGAAAAACACTGTCTATGGACACAGCTCATCACTGCATCCACAAATGCAAGTTAAAACTCTAAAACAAAAAGAAGAAACCAAATATAAACAGGATCCAGAAATGCTGCCTGGGCCCGAGCTAATTTAAAATGGGCTGAGGGGAAGTCGAAAATTGTCCTGAGGTCCAACAAATCAACACTTGAAATTCTTTTTGGAAATCATGGACACTGTGTCCTCCGGGCTAAAGACCACTTGGCTTGTTATCAGTGCACAGTTCAAAAGCCAGTATTCATGATGGTATGGGGGGCATTAGTGCACATGGCATGGGTGGCGTGTACATCTGTGAAGGCATCATTAATGCTGAACGATATATTTGGCAACATATGCTGCCATCCAGACAACGTCTTTTTCAGGGAAGGCCTTGATTATTTTAGCAAGACGATGTCAAACCACATTCTGCATGTATTACAACAACATTGCTCTGTAGTAAAAGTGTCCGGGTGCTAAACTGACCTGCCTGCAGTCCAGACCTGTTGCCACTGAAAACATTTGGAGGGTTATGAAATGAAAATGATGACAAAAGAGACCCTGAACTGTTGAGCAGCTGAAATCCTGTATCAAGTAAGAATATGGAAATATTTAATTTTCAAATCTACACCAGTCGGTCTCCTCAGTTCCTAAACATTTACAGTGTGTTGTTAAAAGAAGAGGTGATGAAGCAAAGTGGTAAACAGGCCCCCGTCCCAACTTTTTTGGAATGTGTTGTTGGCATCAAATTCAAAATGGGTGTATATTTTTTTAAAAACAATGAAATTTCTGAGTTTCAACATTCTTTCAAGCCAAGAATAAATGAGGAGGCAGTTACAGATTGTTAAAATGTGGAGGAGAGGGTGAAGCAGAAAAGAGGTCACAATCAAAACACTGTACAGTTGAAGCTCTTAGCACACTGTGCTCTACTGTATTTCCAAGGCTTGAAACATCACAGTCACAAAATATTTACAGCAATCAAGCAGACAATCCACTCACTTTTCACTGTGATTATCGATGATTATTAGATAATAACTTTATAAAAAGTTGCTTTGGTAAAATTCAGCATTTTGAGACTTTCACTGAGTGGAAGGCCACAGCAAATAAGAACAAGTCCAGCCTTTACTCTTCTCTGTTTTACTTACTGTCTTTTACATTGTTGAATTACAAAAAGTGTTACATTTATGTTATTAATATACAGATTCCATTCAAAAACCTGGACAGTCACTGTATATTTCTTTCTTTCTTTAATTCAGAGCATCTACACAGAATTCTACAGATCAGTGATCTTCAGAGTGTGATGATGCAGCGTCTACAGGGGTCTGTTTTTGGACCCACAGGTCACATAAACCCACATGAACACTGTCTTCAACTGTGTTCTCCCTTCAGTTCCCTTAGGTTTCACAAGGGTTCCTTTGATCAGCATTGTTAAAGCATCAGAGTCCAGTAATGTTAGATGAGTTAATGTTGTCCACTCCTATCAACAGTCCTGAAACCTTTAACTGCATGAACTGTTAGCTAAAGTTAATGGGCCTCATTCTCCAGTATCTTCCTAAGTTTGTTCTTAAGTGTGTTCTTGAGAAAGGTTCTAAGAAAAAGTCTACATCAGATTCATGACGTGTTCTTAAAGCGCAGAACTGTTCTCACCTTTGTGCTCTAAAGTCTTCATAGATTCAAATCCCAAATGAGAAATCATGAAAACTGAGTGGGTTTTAAGAGGAAATTTCTTCCACAGTTGGTGGATGAGGCTCACTGTTCTCACCTCAGCTCAGTTAACATGATCAACAGTTATAGAGTTTTCTAGCTAAACTGTAGAACTGAATGTTCCACAAAGAAAACCAGAAGACCAGATTAAATCTTTTACCGCATCTGAGTGGCAAACTAGGAAATACCAGTGTAGGAATGAGAGAGAGAGGAGGAGGATTATAGTTAAGACTCCATCAGCTGGACTGAAGTTAGGCCTTCAGGAGCTGGACTGGTTTCTCTTGTGACTACATTGTCTTGTTCACAGTTGGCAACACATCTGCACCCCCACACTGAAACGGTCAAGATCCGCTTGTAAACAAACACACGTGTACTGAGATATGATGAGTTCTCATGATTAAACCGGCCTCGAGTACTCGGTTCACCGTTCGAGGTGGCAGTATTTGAGCACTCAAATCACTATTTGAGTATTATGTTTCATCGCGGGAAGATGGAGGTTTTGCTCATATTTCTAATTGTGTATGTAACACTGAGCTTCTCGGAAACATGAGTGTCTGAATGTGAGCATGTTGCCAAGAACACATTCTTCAGGGTGTAACTGAGGAGGCAGAGACAGCACAGCTGTATCAACTGGAACAGTGTTTCTCCACCCTGATCCTGGAGCCACACTGCCCTGCACATTTTAGCATTTTTCTCCCTTTAACACACTCAACTCAGTGAGGAGTTGTTAATGAGCTGATTAGTTGGTCAGGTGTGTTGGGAGCAGGAAAACACTAAAAAGTGCAGGGCAGTGGGCCTCCAGGACCAGGCTTGAGAAACACTGACCTAGACTTGTGGTGAGTTAAAATACGGGGACTTATTTAACATAGAGTAATACTTTAGTTGTACGTTTTGTTGACCAATAGCTTATAAATACAAAAATTCATTGGTGGTGAACTCATAACTCTGGAGCCATTTGAGATTTTGTGTGTAAAAAGTAGGAAAATTGATGGTTAATCCATGATGTAGAGTATTGAAAGACATAAAGCTTAGCTGTTCTTTAAGATAGCAAATCTACCAGTAGTCCTTACTATGGTGGTTTGCAATCGATTGGCTATGCCTCAATCCAGACAGTAGGGGGCGACCACGGGTTTTTCCTCATTCAAGATAAAGCCATCTATGAGGAAACTGCACTTCTGTTTCATCCGTGGTCTTTTACTCCCTCTATTTAGGTCGGAATCCAAGAAAATACAGTTCAGTATTGTTGAAATTGTTATAGTAAAAACATCTGAAGCTAAAAATAGTTATAAATAAGCTAATGCAGTAATGGTGTTAATCATTTCTAGGAATGCCTAGTGAAGATATTAAGCTAACTCATGGAAAAAAACAGAGCTAATGGTGTTAAACAACCACTCAGAAATCGTCAACTATGAATGATGTATGTTTTTGTTATATTCGTTTATTCTGATGGGTTTTAAGTTCTCTAGTAGTTTGAATGTGCATATGATGGAAATCGTTAGTTAAGGAGGTCAGCGCCGCCATTTCACGATATTACTATATGCTATGGAGGACCAGATTTGCCAAAATGAAAAATAAATCAGATTTTTGTATTTATTTTTTTGTTATTTATTTGTTTCTTTATTAACAGTTTTTCTGTTTTCCTAATAATTTATTTTTTATTTATTTCTGTATTTCCTTGTCCTAATGCTAATAAAGGGGCTGTCAGTCAATGATGTCACAGCGTCTTAATATTCCTATTGGTTGATTGATTGTACATGTCTTGCTCTCTCAGCGGTAACTAAGGACCAGACAGTACAGTAACTGCTTCTTACAGCAGAAGACAGTCAGAGATCTGAGAGTCTCGGCTGATCTGGCTGAAAATGCAGGTCTGGGTTGTTTACTCGTTCGTGTGGAGGCTGTGGGGACAGTCTGCTCCATTTAGCTGCCTCTGCTGATTCAGAGGTCGACCCTGTATTGTTCAGACCTTTGGAGGAGGCGGTTCAGCACCTTTTTCTGCAGAATTCAGATCAAACTCAGACATTTGGACACACTTCTCACACACTGCCTGTAGAAGCCATCGAGAGTTATACATCAGCAGGTCTGTCTGTTCGCGACACTGCAGCTCTTTTTGTGGAGTGAAAGAGCAGTTTAATCAGCTCTTCTCTTTCTGGTCTTGATTGCTAAGCCTGAACGTGAAAAACACGCCCCCTCATTATCATTTGAACAACGAAATACAGAAATAAATAAATGAATTAATGAAAAAATAAATAAATGAATACATGAATCAAAGAATAAAGGGAACAATTGTTAAAAATATAGATATAGAAAAAATATATAAAAATGGCATGAATACAACAATAAATAATACATAAATAAATAAATTGAGAAATATATAACTGCAGAAAAAGGCTATATGTATATAATTACAACCACAATAAGCAATATATACTTTATTTAGTTTTTTTTATTTATTGATTAATTTACTGAGCCATTTATTTTTAATTTTATTTATTTTTCAATTTGGCAAATCTGGTCCTCCATAATATGCATGGAATGTGCGTGCCAAACTAGATAACGATAATGGTGGATAGATATAGTCCATGAAACTAATTTCTTTCAGGGGCTGTTTATTTACTTGATGTAGTTGGAAATTCTTAAGCATATTTTTTTGTGTATTTTAGTAATGTTATCAGAGTTACACAATATATGAGATGTAATTGATTGGCTTTATTCTGCACGTTATAAGGCGTTTTTGTTTTAAAAGGAAGTGTAGATTGTGCAACGTAGAGATTGAACAGTTAAGTAATTGTCTCAAGCTAATTGTAATGGTATAGAGAAATTATTACTTAGACTGTATTTAAAACTCTTTACTTTATTGTCAATGGACTGAACCGAGAAGCATGTAAACATGCCTTGTTTTATGTTATATATCACTACTCATTCAAGATAAAGCCATCTATGAGGAAACTGCACTTCTGTTTCATCCGCGGTCTTTTACTCCCTCTATTTAGGGTGGTAACAGACCAACTACTCTAGCTGACGTTAGCTGGGTCCACAAACAGTGGAAGTATATTTCTCTGACAAACGAACATGAGGAGAAAAGACTCATTCGTTTATCTGACCTTACAGAAAAGTCTCTTATCTCAGGTGAACTGTCTAAAAACCACGTTTTCATGCAACATGAACTGGAACAGGTGATCACATGTTTTTTCACTGATGATAGTGTTTTTTTACATGTCTGTGAAAATAAATAACACAAGTAAACAAAAATAACACAAGTTGTGCAAAAACCAATTTAAAGTATAATTTACAGAAAGTATTTGCACCCAAGGATGTGCTTTATAGGTTAATTTTCCTCTGAATATTTAAAGGGTCCTGCACCTCAGTAGACAAACAGCTTTTCCACCGTACCTTTGTGAACAGCTGAAACACTGAGAGCCACCAGGAGCAGAAGCAGATATGAAGAAAGAGCCATTATCACAGTGGTTAAATGTCCATTCCAGACTTCATTCAGATTGTCCACTGCTTCCCTCTACAGAGTCTGTCATGCAGTCTGATGTGTCCTGCCTGTGTGTTGGAGCGACGCCCTGCCAACACAAAACCATCTTCAGTTTAGAGAGGTATTGCAGAAAACAGCTTAACTCCTCACTGCTTGTGTACTGATTGTGACGCAGTATGTGAACAATATGAATTTCTCCAGTACAACAAAGATAACTGAATAACGTAGTCCAGCCAAATATTCCAGTACACTACTTCCTGATGTACGGCGCGTTATAATGCAATGTAGAAAAAGTGGTAGTAATGATTGCTAAGCAGTGATTGGAGGGCTAGGTAAATAAGCTGGGTCTACAGTGGTCTCCACAAATAATGACACCACAAAAACATGAGCAAAACGAGCTGTAAAATGTTTTATTGCTTATCCTTTTGATCTTTAATTCAGAATATCAACAAAAAGCTAACCTTTATTTGATGTACAATGATTGGCAATCTAGTCATGAAAGTAATATTTCCCCAAATCTCTGCGCACCACAGGTTTGGCACATTTTCATTTAATCCTTTGTGCAGCCTCCCTTGGCAAAGATACCATGGGTGTGGTATTAAATATATACTGGTGTAGTATACAGTATATACTGATGCAGTATAGAGTAAACAGTATATACTGGTGCAGTATGCAGTATATACTGGTGCAGTATGCAGTGAACATTGGTACAGTATATAGTATATAGTGGTGGAGTATACAGAATACAGTATATACTGGTGCATTATACAGTATACAGTATATACTAGTGGAGTATGTAGTATACAGTTTATACTAGTGTGATATGTAGTATACAATATACATACTAATGCAGCATACAATGTACAATATATACCAATGCAGTATGTGGTATACAGTATATACCAAGGCAGTATGGAGTATACAGTATATACCAAGGCAGTATACTGTGTATACTAGTGCAGTATATAGTATACAGTTTACACTGATGCATCACACAGTATACAGTATATACTAGTGCAGTATGTAGCATACAGTATGTACTGATGCAGTACTCAGTATACAGTATAAACTAGTGCAATATAGAGTACAGTATATACTAGTGCAGTATACAGTATACAGTATATGCTAGTGGAGTATGTAGTATACAGTCTCTACTAGTGCGATATGTAGTATACAATATACATACTAATGCAGCATACAATATACAGTATATACTAGTGCAGTACGTAGTATACAGTATATACTAGTGCAGTATGTAGTATACAGTATATACTGATGCAGTACTCAGTATACAGTATATAATAGTGCAATATACAGTATACAGTATATACTAGTGCAGTATGTAGTATACAGTATATACTGATGCAGTACTCAGTATACAGTATATACTGGTGCTGTTTACAGTTGTACAGTATATACTGGTGTAGTATACTGTATATATGGGTGCAGTATACAATATACAGTATATACTGGTGAATATGCAGTATAGAGTATACAGTATACAGTATACACTGGTGCAGATGAGACGTTATGTCTGTGTTTGCTAACTAACCATATAGTCACCCTGTTTCACTTTAATTTTGAGATGTACGATTTACATATTTTTCTACTATGTTAGCAGTGTTAGTGTTAAAACACTGTTCATCTTGTCTAAATCTGACTGTAATTGTTATTAATGCAGTTATAAAGTGTATATAAAGCGCTTGATGGATCCATCAGTTGCACAACCTGCATGTTTTATTTAACTTCCCACATAAACCAGATGAACACAACGCGACGGAGATCCTCTTTGGAGAAAACTGAGAGAACTACTGCCCTGTTAGGTCAAGGTTCAAAGGTCTTTGTTGTTATTGTTATAAAACAAGACATCACAGCATCTCCACAATTAAGAACAATAATTATTGAATAAATAGACATATCTGCAATAAATAATAGATTAATAAGTTAATGAAGCACATAAATTATGATGGAATGAGTTACTCTTATGGTGAAGGGATGTTTAGTGAGGGGTAGTGGGGGCATTGGAGAGTTATTAAGGAGTCTTATTGCTTTAGGTATAAAACTGTTAGCCAGTCTGGAAGTCTTTATTGTTCAGGTTGCTGTTAGCACTTAAAAGCAGCATAAGAACTCCTGAATGCATTTCCTGCACATGTTATACAGTAAACAATAACAGATCATGTTAATTATTCATGTATCCAAGTGAAGGGGTTGTGAACAGCTGGCCATTTCAGTAAAGGCAGTAAAAATAACCTGCATTAACTTGACTAAAACTCTGACTTTAACCTTGTAAACTCGTGTTAACACGCAGATATACAGTTTACTGCTCTATTCTGAGAGGATAAACAGAGTTTGAGTCTTTCCTACCTTAAAAGAAGAGATAATGTAAGCTCTGCCTTTGTTTTCTGTGGTTTTATGGCTGGATTTGAGGAGACCACGGGGAGAGACCCTCCTCCTCCTCCAGCTCCTCCTCCTCCAGCTCCTCAACAGGGTGGAGTTCAACCTAAAAGAAAAGTGAATCATTCCTTCAGTAACTTTCCAGCTGTGGGTGAAAAAAGGTCCACATGTGTAAATGATCATTGTTGAGAACCATCACAGTCAGCTACAGCTCAGTCTGTGGTGAGAACCTGATGCTTTTTGAGGTCAGAGAACATGATTCCAGAGTTTAGTAACCCTTACGAGCGCTAAGGGACCGTCCACAAATTACATTACTATTAACTCAGTCGCAAACGGCGATCGTCGGAGTCCAAGTACCAAGATTTTGAGACACAAACTTTATTTTTGACTATTTAACTATAACTGAAATGTTGCCAGTTTTAATCATTTAAGAAGAACTTTTAGAATGGGGTTGCCAGGTTAGATAGGGTTGCCATGATTAGTGCTAGAGTGCTCACCCCTTGGCTAAGTCTTTGTTTGGATTTGGAGCTGTTTCCTCAGCCAGCTTGACAAGCATCTTCTCCAGCCACATAATATAATATACTGGTGCAGTACGTGGTATATAGTATATACTGTTGCAGTATGTGTTATACAGTATATACTGTATCAGGGTGCAGTATACAGTATAAACTGGTGCAGTATGCGGTATACAGTATACACTGGTGCAGTATGCGGTATACAGTATATACTGTATCAGGGTGCAGTATACAGTATATACTGGTGCAGTATGCAGTATACAGTATACACTGGTGCAGTATGCGGTATACAGTATATACTGTATCAGGGTGCAGTATACAGTATATACTGGTGCAGTATGCAGTATACAGTATACACTGGTGCAGTATGCGGTATACAGTATATACTGTATCAGGGTGCAGTATACAGTATATACTGGTGCAGTATGCGGTATACAGTATACACTGGTGCAGTATGCGGTATACAGTATATACTGTATCAGGGTGCAGTATACAGTATATACTGGTGCAGTATGCGGTATACAGTATACACTGGTGCAGTATGTGGTATGCAGTATATACTGTATCAGGATGCAGTATACAGTATATATTGGTGCAGTATGCGGTGTACAGTATACACTGGTGCAGTATGCGGTATACAGTATACACTGGTGCAGTATGCGGTATACAGTATATACTGCTGCCAGTGGTGGACAAAGTACACAAATCATGTACTTGAGTTAAAGTGGAGGTACCCAAAGTAAAGTAGAGATACCCAAATATTGATTTCTCATAATAAAGATATTTGACTTTGAAATGTAGTGGAGTGAAAGTAAAAAGTCACCCAAAATGGAAATCTTTAAGAGGAGAAACACAAACATAGGAGAGTCTGTTGTTACCACATTTATGGTTGATTTGATTTCATAATTATTGACTTTATACTGTGTTTGTTCTCTCTCTCTCTCTCTCTCTCTCTCTCTCTCTCTCTCTCTCAGGGCTCTGTCCTGGAGTGCTGCAAATTGTCTCACTGTATTTCAGCCAGGCCTGGGAAACACTACTCCGCCTCATCTGGAACATAAATTGGAAAATTTGACAGAGATAGTTGGCCATCATCTAGGAGCCCTGGCCTGCGCCGCCCCCAAACACACACAGACCTAGTTTGGACCATAACTTCATTTTTCACCCATTCTGTTCACAAAGCATATATTTTAACACTATTTCAATACTATTTAGTCATAATTAGGAATAACCAGTTTAGCTGATTTTTAAGGGATCATCTAGAGATTCTAACTTCTTTGTACTCTCTTGATCAAAATGGAAAAGTGGGATGTGTGAATTGATGTGATGTAATCAAGAGCATAGCCCTTTAAAGTGTGAGAGTGTGTTTTTAACCCTATAGATAATGGAATAATCAAATGTAATGACTAAGGCCAGTGATTATTATTTTAGGTAATGATTTATTAATGAATAGAAATGAAGTGGCTGATGAAGGATGACATGGCACTTTTAACCCTCAAGTGGTGTTGATGTTTTTGTTACTCAGTGGTCTGGTTGACCATAGTAGCAAACAATATATACCAGTGCACTGTACAGTACATACTAATGCAGCATACAGTATACACTGTATACTGGGGCAGTATGCAGTATATACTGATGTAGTATGCAGTATATAGTATATACTGATGTAGTATGCAGTATACAGTATATACTGATGTAGTATGCAGTATACAGTAAGTACTAATGCAGTATGTAGTATACAGTACATACTAATACAGGATACACCGATCAGACATAGCATTCTGAGAATAGTCCACCAACCAAAAATATCCAGCCAACAGCGTCCTCTGACCACTGATGAAGGACTAGAGGATGACCAACACAAACTGTGCAGCAGCAGATGAGCTATCGTCTCTGACTTTACATCTACAAGGTGGACTGACAAGGTAGGAGTGTCTAATAGAGTGGACAGTGAGTGGACACAGTGTTTAAAAAGCATAGACTGGTTCACTATATACTGTATATACTGGTGCAGTATGCAGTATAAAGTATATACTAATGCAGTATGCAGTATATACTGTTTGTATACCATGCATCATTCCAAGATGGCTGTGCACACAGACACGGATACAGCAGCTCGGATCTCTCAGTCATAAAGTTTTGTTTTTCTATGTGTGTTAAGTTTACTTGTTGAAGCACTCAGTGAATGTTTACGGAGCCGAACTGCTCAAACTCAGAAATCGATGTCAGGGTTACACCTTCATAAACCTGACCTGTATCCCACCGGAGATCCTGCGTCCTGCATGGCGGCAGAGGTGACCTAAGAAAAGAAGGCAAAAGTGGGGCAAGAGAGCTGTCGCACGAGCTAGGCTACGGCTAACCCCCACAAACTGTCCCTGCTGAGTCTCTTCCTAACCAACTCCCGGTCACTCATCAACAAGGTGTAGAAAATACGACTAAGGATGATTCCTTACTTCATGGACAGCTGTGTGATGGTACCCACAGAGACTTGGCTGGACAGCACTATTGAGCTAGTGGACTGCTCTGTTTACTGAGCAGAGAGGACTGCTGACTCTGGTCAGATCAAAAAAGGTGGAGAACTCAAAGGACAACACCATCCAGGGCAGAGCCGGTACTTGACTTACAGCACCATCAGTTGAGATCCAGTCTGAGGAAGACTGACCTCACCAAAGCAGCAGGACCAGACAGGGTGCCAGGCTGAAGTCATGTGCTGACCAGCGGGCAGGGGTGTTCACTAACATCTTTAACCTGTCCCTGCAGCAGGCTGTAGTCCCCACATGCCTTAAATCTACTTCAACTGTCCCCATGCCCAAAAAGCAAGCAGTCAGGTGTCTCAGTGACTGTTGTCCAGTTGTCTTTACACCAATCATTATGAAGTGCTTTGAGAGGCTCGTTCTCTTTCACATCAAGGCCAACACCCCCACTGATCTGGACAGCCACCAGTTTGCCTACTACTATGAGGACACGATCTCGACTGCACTTCACACAACCCTCTCCCATCTAGAGCGTCCTAACACTTACGTCAGGATACTATCTGTCGACTTTACCTCCGCTTTCAATACCATAGCCCCCATAAACTGGTAGACAAGCTCAGAAACCTGGGATTGACCACCACACTCTGCTCATGGATTCTGTACATCCAGATACAGAACAGAAGGGTGGGCAACTGACATCGTCCACTCTCATCCTGAACGCAGGGTCACCACAGGGCTGTGTCCTCAGTCCAGCCTTCTACACTCTATTCACACACAACTGCACACCCGTCCACTCCGCTAACACTGCAGTGAAGTTCAGTGATGACATCACTACAGTGGGAATGATATCAGGAAACGTTACTCACTACAGAGAGGAGGTTCAAAGTGAGGTTGGGTGGTGTTCGGACAGTAACCCAGTCCTGAACACCACTAAAGGAGATCACTGTGGACTTCAGGAGAACCAGGAAAACAACATCCCCCCTCCACAGCAATGATGAGTCAGTAGAGAGGGTTAAATTCCTGGGACTCCACATCACAAAGGATCTGATGTGGACCCTTAAAACCGCCCACATGGTGAAGAAAGCTCAGCAGAGACTCTTCTTCTTGAGAAATCTTAAAAAAATCACCCTCTCAGCTCTTGGCATTGCGTCACAGCCTGCAGCTGTACTGCAGAGAACCGGCCAGATCTGGCCTGGACTGCACAGAGGATTGTGGGAACCAAGCTCCCAAATCTGGACACAGTTAACGCTTGTCGCCTACATAAGAGGGTTAGCAACATTATCCAGGACTCTGACAGGCTGACGAACAGCTTCTTCCCCAGAGCTGTAGCCTCCTTTACACCCCCCCCTCCACACACACACACTCTATAGACACACACACATTCTATACACACACACACACTCTATAGACACACACACACTCTATACACACACACACTCTATACACACACACACACACACACACACACTCTATACACACACACACACACACACACACACCACACACTCTATAGACACACACACTCTATACACACACACACACTACACACACACACACACACACACACACACACACACACACTCTATACACACACACACACACTCTATACACACACACACACACACACACACACTCTATACACACACACACACACTCTATAGACACACACACACTCTATAGACACACACACGCACTCACACACACTCACACTCTATACACACACACACACACACACACACACTCACACTCTATACACGCACACACTCTATAGACACACACACACATTCTATACACACACACACTCACACTCTATACACACACACACACACACACACACTCACACTCTATACACACACACACACTCTATACACACACACACACACACACACACTATAGATACACACACACACACACACACTCTATACACACACACACACACACACACACTCTATAGACACACACACACACACTCTATACACTCACACACACACACACACACACACTCTATAGACACACTCACACACACACACACTCTATACACACACACACTATACACTCACACACACACACACACACACGCACACACACACATACACTCTACACACACACACATACACACACTATACACACACACACACACTCTATACACACACACACACACACACTCTATACACACACACACACACACACACACTATACACACACACACACACACACACACTCTGTACACACACACTATACACACACACACACACACACACACACACACTCTATACACACACACTATACACACACACACAGCTACTGAAGACTGAAGGGAGCAAACAGACCAGCCTGTTTTACCCCCCACCTTCCCCAAGGTGCTGATAACGCATTGAACACATTACATCCAGGAATGTAAACAGGGTGGAATACCTGTTTATACCTGTTTACTCTGCACTGCTGCACCATCCAGATCCACTGCATACAAATACACACACACACACACACACACACACACACACACACACACACACACACACACACATCATCTAAACCGCTTATCCTGCTGGGTCACGGTGGGTGCTGGAGCCTATCCCAGCTGTCATTGGGCGGAAGGCAGGATTGCATACAAATACAGTCCTGTAAATGTTTTAATGTTTTTAAATGGTTTTTATTGTTGCTGATTTTTCTAAGAGCTACCAAACAAAGTTTCTCTGTATGACTACAATGACAATAAAGTCTTGTCTTATTTCACATCTGCAGGTTTGTACATGGAAACTATCAGATCATCATGCACCCATAGTTCCCATATTGGTGCATTCATATTATTATTTATCTCCTTATTATTAAAAACAGTATTTAACCTTTAAAGTAATACTATCCATGTTTCACTTCCACTAGTCTGTTGGTGAAAAGGTGGTGTTTTTGTGGAGCTGTAGTACTTCAGTCTGGACTCAAGGTGTTTTTACCATCTCTGATTTGTTTTGGACTTTGCAGCATTTGTACTCGGACTCGTCTGATTATCTTCTTTCTGTTAAAGGTCAAAGGGCTGCCTCAGCAGCTCAGGGGTTAAACTGGGCCAGAGTAAACCAGAGCGAAACTTTAGCATCTTTGGTTCGTCTCAATGGTAAACAGAGCTGAGCTTCGGTGCTGTAATTTGATGGAGGTGTAAACAGTTTCATAATAAAATCTTTATCAAACCCCTTTTAACTATTCAGTGTGATTAACCTCAGTGAAAAATATCATTTAACCACGCCCCCTCTACAAGGGGCCCCGCTACCACCCTGTAAGTTCTTGTTTGGTAATTTCTGCTATTCTGTGATGTTATAAACTGGTAAATAGGTGTGTTACAGTGTTGTTATACCTCATCAAGAGGTGCAGGTTATGTGCTGTTATTAATTCTGTTAAATCTGAAAATTTAATTCTGTAATTTAAAGCATTCTGTCTCAGAGGTTTCTGTAGCCATCACGACTGAGAAAGCTAAAGCTAACTCAATCATTTGTTCATGCAGTAATGGACAGTAATGGACAGTAATGGACTGTTCCCTGTAAATGGGTTTTACTGGATTTGACAGTCTTGTATGTTTAATCTACTGTTTTGTTAACTAAGTGTTGCTAAATGTGCTCAAAGGCACTCATCTGTACCTCACTAGCTAACAGTGTTTGTAGGTTAATATCAGAGCTGAATTAGTCAGTGATGTTATATTTGGTAGGAAGGCTGGTTTACAGTATGACAAGCATGTTTCTAAAATCGGACTGGATGGTTCTGAACCTGGCATTAAAGTGCTGCACAGAGCTGAATCATCTCCCATGTTTTCTATATAAACTCTATTGTTCTGTGTTGTACTTTACTCTCCCAAAACATGGGCAGATGATCCATGCAGATAAAAGGACAGCACATGCTGTTGATGTCAGATGGGTGGCATTACTGATTGGACCATTTTATTTTGCTAATTTAAAGGCTTTAGTTTGACCATCAGAACACATCTTTATATAAATTCTGATGCCAAAGCTGACAAATAATGTGCTGTTGTCGGATGAAATCCTCATGTCTACATTTTTGAGTTTTTCAGTTTTTGTAATAATTTGAAAAAAGCAAATTTCATGATGAATGGACTGAGAGAAACGGCCTAAAATGACTTGGTAAGAACTCTGGTTCCATTGACTTACATTAACAGTGAAGTATGTTTTTTCCTTCTCCTGTAAAGTTACCATTTTGGAGATACGAGGTTTTTGTCCAACAACAGCAAATGATCACTTAAAACAGGCAAGTTAATTAATGGACCTAATTGAATCATCAAGACAAAAACAGGCTGTTGTTTTTCACATTTTCATGAAATTTTATGATACAGGCTTTGGTTGAATTAATTCCGATTGAGAATGAGTTGTATTAATTCAGAGAATTCAGGTTGGATTGATTGGATTAAGTGAGAGTGGGCACTGGAAGTTTCAGTCCATACCACATCTGTGTTTGTAAGTAGTAGAGGAGGTATTTTATTATAATTTGAATTTGATGGAGTTATTTGTTTTGTTTTGTTGAAGGTAATTTCTTCTTTTGTACTTCAGTAATTTGTACTAGAAGGAGATAAAGACTAACTAAGGCCTGGACTTGAAGAGAACTCCATTTTTGGGGTTTTGTAAATGACCCATTTGTACTTGGCCTTGACTCGGACTCAGCCCCCTATTGACTCAGTCTTGACTAGTCATGGTCTTGCACTTGTTTTGTACTCAACAAAGGTGGTCTTCACTACAGCCCTAGTTTTTGGCAAATATCACTGTCATCTCAATAATGAAGGTACGCTAACATTTTGATGAGATTTTTGGATCTTAAAACAGTGTTTCAGTCATCAGGCAGTGAATTTATAACCATTTACTGTAGTAACTTTCTGTGGGGGAGCTTTTAGAGGTGGACGTCTGGTTCCTATCACCACCACTGTGAACAGTTCTGACTCTAGAACAGAGCATTTCACACCAAACCACTCTGAATGACTCTGTTTACATCTTGCAGAAATTTAAAAATTGATAGAAAATCCATATTAAGGTTCCTCACTGATAAAGCACAGATGTTTCTCTCAGTGTAAGAAAACCTCACTGAGGAATATGTGCTATTCTCACCAATTAAACATGCAGAAATGTTGAACCCCCCACAAAATTGTGAAATTTGCTCTTTAAGTCTTTGACTTTATTGTCTTTGCTACACTGTGACCACTTCAGTCAAAATGTTCTGGATCCATTAGTGCTGTAAAAACAGTTATTCATGTCAGAGATGAACTAAATTCAAAGGATTTTCTTTTTCTCCAGGACATTTCCTGTCTTTGGGACCTAAAATGTCCAGGATTCAGCTTTGCTCTTATGTTTAACCCTCCAGCCTCTGGTGTCGTCTTTTTAGAAAACCAAAATATAGTCCCCTGATTTTAAAATGTAAAAGAACATACATATTATTTCTGCTACATTAGTGTTAAACACTGGTCATCTTGTCTAAATATGACAGTAAACATTATATATGTTATATTAATATTGTTTACAAGATTAAACAGGCCAAAAGCAACAGATGGATCCACAACAACATCAGTTACGCAGTTTAATTTACCTTCCCACATAAACAATATGAACACGACAACAACTGAGATCCTGCCTGGAGAAAACTGAGAAATCTACTGCCCTGTTAGCTCTTAAAAGCAGCATAATAACCCACAAATGACTTTTCTGCACGTTATACAGTAAACAATAATAGATGTTATTTATTCACGTATCCAAGTGAAGGGGTTGTGAACAGCTGGCCATTTCAGTAAAGGCAGTAAAAATAACCTGCATTAACTCGACTAAAACTCTGACTTTAACCTTGTAAACTCGTGTTAACACTCAGATATACAGTTTACTGCTCTATTCTGAGAGGATAAACAGAGTTTTGAGTCTTTCCTACCTTAAAAGAGGAGATAATGTAAGTTCTGCGTTTGTTCTCTGTGGTTTATGGCTGGATTTGAGGAGACCACGGAGAGAGACCCTCCTCCTCCTCCTCCTCCTCCAGCTCCTCCAGGGTGGAGTTAAACCGAAAGGATTAAAAAATGTTAGAAGAAAAGTTAACTTGCTTGTTCTGAATTCCTGCAGTAGTTTTTGAGTAGGAGGTGTAAAAAGGTAAGTATGTGTAAACAATACAATCAGCTACAGTTTAGTTTTGTTCAGAAACTGGTGCTTTTTAAGGATGTAGAGAACATGATCCCAGTGTTTAGTTACTGCTATGAGCTCTAAGGGACCGTCCACAAATTACATTACAATAACACAGCCACAAACGGTGATCATGGGGGCCAAGCACGGTATGCCTATGGGGTATTTTCAAGTCTGACAAACTTATTTCTTACAGTTCCAGTAGTCATTAAAGTTCATAATTTAATGAGTTTAATAAATTCATCAGGATACTGGTCAATTTAACCCTAATAGAAATGTGAAGGTAGGTGATTGAAAACCTGTGAAATCTATAAAAACCTTGAGCCAACCTGCCCCCTCTCCTTTACAGACCTCCCCAACTCTGTGCCTCTTCACTTTCATTTGTGTGTCTCAATACCTAATGAGCAGTCTTACTACTCACTGTCTACATAGGCAGCTGTTTAATAGGCACCAGTTTAACCATCATTGAACCTTATAACACAGATAAATGAGATGCTCTAGTTAGATAGCGCTGCACGTGACCAGTGTTTACTTACCTCAGTTTTACCACCATAGATTCAGATCTTGTGGTTTTCATAGACATTTTAATTATATCTACTTTAGAGAAACAGGAGAATAGACAGGAGTTTCACCGTGCTGTGGTCAGATGCAGAGAGACGAATGCTTCTCACTTCTCTTGAACAAGTAAGATTTACACAGTTTATCTGAGGTAAATCTTCCACTAAATACTCAACAGTAAACTCTTTCTATACAACATACAAGGTTTATCAAACAGCTAAGTGCCAGTAAGATAAACATTTTTTAAAATAAATTCTGTTCAATTTGCTTTGAGTTTTTAAATTGGACATACACATTATTAATTCATACATCGACTTAAAAGCTACAGACACCAGATACAACTATGGGTGACTTGCATTAACCAAACAATAACATACACTTTACGGTGTATACTACACACTATACTAGTGCTGCACTTAAATGCAGTATCAGTGATGGGGGCATATGACCAATACCACAAAGCAATTTCTGACGTATGCATACACGCCAGTCGACAGAACTTAACAACACATTGGCAGTGGAACGACAGGCAACAGTAAAAACGCTCATGGCATAATCTGTAACAGCAGTTGTTGTGTAGTCACTTACAGTCTGGATTAATGTCACTGAGAGAGCCGAAGGAACCATGGTTTGTGCCACAGGTGATTGCTGCCTGTGTCACCCTGCACCACGTCTGTCTGGGAGCAAGAGACCTTGTTTAACCTGTGGATGAAGCAGATGGGAAGGAGGTAGATGTCACAGACGCAGTCAGCAATTATCAACTACAGGGGCACCTTTGTGCCGCCATCAATGGCATTTACCGATGGCTCAGGAACAGAAACTGTTCAATTTACATTTTCAAATGTTGCATTTACATTATAGCAAGTTACATCTTGGAAATCTTAAATCTAGTCTAAATATATAATAATTCTAGTTTTGCATTGTTGCAAGAACAGAAGATTATTTAAATTTTCATTTTTTTTTACTTAATAAGTAATGCACGTATAGTGGAAGTGTCTATTTTTGTCACTGCACTTAAATGGCTTAAACCATGTAAAAATGTCTAGACACAAGTTTATCAGTTTATTCTTACAGCAATCTCAAAATTGTAGAAATATAACACTGTTTATAATATTGAGATATATATATATTTTTTTTTTTGCAGTGTATGAAAAAAGCCCATTAAAATATTGTTCTGTGATTGTGTTTACATTGTAAAACATTTCAAGTGATTTTAAGATAAGAATGACCTGCAACTCAAGACAAATATCAAGACACTTTATAATAAAGAGCTGATTTTTTGAATAATTCTGCAGTTTATATGTTTAAATTGGTGAAAGGAATATCATGACACATTCTTAATGACAGGAGTGGGTTCATATCACTGCTCCTGTTCTGCTCGCTCTCTCCTCTCTTCAACTCTTCACAGGAGGTCAGTGAGAGTTCTTTGCCACTTCCTTCCTTCAGACAGTGGGGGTGTGACTCCAGAATATGGCCCTGGTTCTGCCTCATAATGCAAGGCTTTTAGCAGAGGACGTGAGCCCTGTCCCAACTTTTTTGAGACGTGTTGCTCCCATCAAGTTCTAAATGAGTTAATATTTTTCAGGAAAAGTTGAAGTTGTCCCCTGCATACAGGGATTTCTCCAGATTCTCTGAATCTGTTGATGATATTATGTACTGTAGATGGTGGGATATTCAAAGTCTTCACAGTTTTACGTTGAGAAACATTTTTCTGAGATTGTTCCACAATTTTTAGACAGTTTTTCTCAGATTGCTGAACCTCTGCCCAACTTTGCTTCTGAGACTCTGCCTCTCTAAAATGCTCCTTTTATATTCAGTCTTGTGAGTTAATTACACATTGCTTTTCCAGCTGTTGGAGGATTTATTAGTACCACTTACTTTTCCAGCCTTTTGTTGCCCCTGTCCAACTTTTTTTGAGATGTGTTGTTGCCATCAAGTTCTAAATGAGTTAATATTATTCATGAAATGGTAAAATGTCTCATTTTTAACATCTGATATGTGTTTTATGTTCTATTGTGAATAAAATATGGGTCTATGAGATTTGCAGATCATTGCATTCTGTCCTTATTTACATTTTACACAGCGTCCTAACATTTTTGGAATTGGGGTTGTACATTTTTCTGACTCTACATATGATTCTTGTAACTATATACATTAGTGTCAGAGTACATGCAAGTAAAAATAATATTAGATATGTTGCTATGCTAATAACCATCTGTTATGATGTTATGATTAAGACCTAGCAGGACAGACAGCTAAATCAATCTTAATCAATTCAGTCTGAATTATGACAAATCAAATGATGAAAGACCACAAAAACAAAGATTAACCATTCTTACAAAATTCTTAGTCGTTGTAGGTGTGTATACATTGTATTTGCTCTGTGTGAGTGTGATTCTGACTGGATTTGGAGGTTTTGGGGGCCAATCTGCCTTGATGATGAGAGAGAAGTGAACCAAAAACAGTGAACACAGAACATGTCTTTTGTTGTCACCATAAACATTTTATTAAAAGGTTTTCAGGGAGTAGCTACACAAAAAAAAGGTGACCGTATTTGCTGGCAACATTAGTCTAAAATTTCCCATTGTCAGATAACAAACAGGTGTTCAACATGTGCACATGGAGTAAGTGATAAATCATGTTAACTGGATTTGCCACTGAACGATCTTTAACAGATTAATCGTCAAACAGATCACTACATATTACAGTATATATGTCTACAGTACTGTGCAAATTTAAAGCCCATGGAGAACAGGGTATTTATAAAGCTATTTATCTGGGTAGTAGCACTAATATTAGACATGGTAATAAATACAAATTTGATTATATAAAAAGTAGTGATTCTATGCATGTTAATTTTTCATCAAGGATAAATTTGAAACCAAACTGTTAAAGTATTTAAATGGTTTTAAACAATGTGCTTAGGCACCCAGTCCCTGTTTTTAGTGTTGGAAGGACAGTTCAAAATCAAGGTCAGGTCAAAACTGCAATAAGAATTAAAAAAAATAATAATAATACATGGACGAGGCAAAAATCAAAGTCAAGATACAGGGTTGTATACAATGTAATTCCAGAAAGAGGAGAGGGAAAAAAAAAACGTCAACCGTTGCTGTTGCTTGGGTTTCCATTGTTTCGGTTACCTTGCTGATCTGCACCACACTGATCTAGAAAGCCACAAACAAATAGAAAAGCACAGTTAATAAATAAATTAAAAATTTACTCACATTAATGAAATATTGTGTGTCATGGTCCATTTAAACCTGCAATACATGTTTTAAAAATTTACTACAAAAAGTGTCTGTGATGCAGAAGAGACTGTTGTTCTGCTCAAAGCAATGCTCTTTTATTAGAAACAGCACCACAGGCCACAACAACCGAAAATAACAGGCAGGTAATTCCCTGTATGCCATATAGACTCACTCTAATTAACCCCTCAGTCCAACACAATAAAATGTAATACACTCACATACGCACACACACACAAACACACACCAACCCGGCCAGCAACAACATTAACAATACATGTCCTTAATGACGACTTTCAGCTGCACGGCTTCCAGACACTCTTGTTGTCGTAGCGTGGAAGGCAGATGCACACCAGCTCCTTCTTGCCCGGGCTCCACTGCTGAGCCTTAAGCCTCATTATGCCACTCTTTGTTTTGACTTAATTTTTCACTATACACTTTATATCTTTTGCTATATTGTGAACTGATTAGGAAACAAGCATGAAACGACTTTCAGACACTATGTTTAGAAGCACTGCTTCATAGAAAGTGTCAGGTACTTGTGTAATATCTTTGTTGCACAAACAAATCAAACATCAATGAAGTGTTAAAGATTTTACAAACCACTACCTGTAATTAAGATGTTCATACACCAAGTTGAAAATATACAATTAACAGTCAAACGTGTACAAGAGGTGTAGACGAACTATTTTAATAGTTGACGAAATAACTGATGAACAGTTTTCACAAGCTTATAATTTACTGGTGTACAACTCAGCTGTTTGTTGTAGCCAACAGTTTTCCTGTAGTAAAAATGTTTCCTGTGTCTGTTTTGCTGCTAAGTCTCAGAAAATTGTCAGCTGTCATTTGTCAATCTGTCAGCTAAGGTAAATAAACTGCTTGACATTTGTTTTTTAATCTTTCTTCTACATCTCAAAGATCTTTCAGCAGCTATCAGTTTTCTTATTTATCTTTAGAACGTCTTACAATAAAACGGTTGGTCCCACTTTATATTATGTGTCTCTAATAACTGTTTAGTTACACATGAATAACATGCAACAACACTGTAAATACTGATGATTTAGTCAATGTTACAGCTGGATTACAGAAGTACAGCCTATGCAATTACACAAGTGTATTGTGACAGGACGAGCAAACCAGTCTCCCTAGTTAAATCTATTTCCTCACATATTTCCCCCTTATTTCAGTCCCGTTCTGTCGCTGCTGTAGTCCTACAGTAGTTCATACACTCTCCCTCACCATTTTATCAGCTAATGCTGCTGTTCACTTCTCACTGCAGTCTCAGTCTTTGCTAGCTCGGTACTTTACGTCATGATACCAGCAGCAGGTGTAGAACATACATGACTTACATGAGCTGCATTACTTACTGGTCTGGGAAAAGGCCCAAGCTTGGTTTGAGCTGTGCTTAAATAATGCCTGGGCAAAATTCAGACATGCTCAGTAGAGCCCTGTTGGAGTGATCCAATTGGAGGGGGGGTTCATGGGGTTCACATAGTTTGAAGTGTTTTTCTTTTTTTTTCTCTTTTGATCTTGTTCATTTTGTGTGTTTGTAGCTTATGATTCAACAATCCATTGTGAACATGCTTTTCTTGGGTTTTTTATTTATTACATAAGTTATTATTGCAGGTTATTATTGTTTCCCACTGCAGAGGAAAATGACTGGTATGTGCTGGGTGGGGTGGAACAGTGGAAGTCTATTTAAGGAGCTCAATGCGCTTCAATAAGAGAGGGAGATGGTTAGTTGATTGTTGAGCTGATGTATTTTGAGGTAAACTGTTGTTTTATATAACTGTTGTATATAATATAATATAATCTGTAAATAGTTTTTTGTTTATTTCTTCAACATTTTGTTATTTTCTCGGCACCGTTCACTAAATAAACACCCTTGCACTGAAGGCGCTGTTGTGGTTTTTCATCACTTTTCTTACAGCCCACAACCTAGTCAGAGCATATCTACCCTCACCTGCAAGCAAGGTGTGACATGTATCTTCTACACAGGAACTTTCCTGTAGTGCAGTGTTAACTACACTTTAAAATAAGTGGACACTTCCTGTGTAGTTGTTATGTAGGTACTGTGTAATAATGGAGGGGTAATGTAGACATTGCTTTGGTGGAAATGCAACACATTTAATTAATGTCAAAGTTACATGTTAACATAAGGGGTCGTCTGCTGTTCTGTCACATTACAGACTGGTTTAAAGCTGAAACTGGTTACAGTATCACAGCACTAGCAACATAAATGCTAGCTAAATGTTAGAAAAGCTGGCAGATACAGTGTAAATATTGTCTTAATGTAAGTTATTGCATAATTCCCTGCTAATTCACTGCTAGGGAAAAAAAAAAAAAAACTTCTAGAAAAATGCTGTTCCAATCTGATTACAAATGTAATTACTGTTGTTATTACTCTTGTGCAATTACACATGAAAGAATATGCTGTTACAACTATTAAGATGCACTTTAATACACTGTAATTACATGAGGCAAAACTGAAGTTGATACATGTGTAATTACACAAGGTGTATTTCTGTAATCCATCTGTAACAGTGACTAAATCATTAGTAGTTACATTGCTGTTGCATTTGTTGTTCACATGTCACTACACAGTTATTAGACACTTAATATAACGTGGGACCAAATGTTTAAGCTCATCATTTCTGCTGAAGAGAATTTATGACAAATTATTTGGCAATTGGGCATCCAGGATGCACCAGTGTGCTAATAGGCTCAATGTGCCAGTAGGAAATATAATAATACTGTAAAATAGGAAACTGTATTTTGTAGTTGATGTGGCTAAGTGGTAGCATATATTACAGAAATAAGAGTGGCCCCAGGATAAACACCAGAACAAAATGTTCCAAATGTAAGAAATTACATATCTATGAGATAGATTTGTGTAAAATCACTTAAGTACATTTCCAGAAAGTCCAGTCCAATTTTCAAGTCTGTCTAAAATGCGGCAAATGCCACAGTAAAGTCCAAAAGGGCAAAGTTTGATACTTTGTTCTCACTCACACTCGCTCACTCACTTTTAACAAGATGTCCACAAGAGGGAGCTACTGGTACTCTAGTAACTAGCTTGTGTTAGCTGAAATGGCTGAGTCTATTGAGCAATTTGAACACAGGAGAAGTGAGTGCTTTCTAGGATTTTTGGGGACACATGCTGGTGCTTCGCATCAGTGACACTTTGTGTCCTTGTTAACTGTCACCTTGTTCCAGTCTTCCAGTGATTTTTGTCATACACAACATTGAACAGCATTAATCTGCATATTGGCTGACTCAGAATAAAAATTATAGATTTTTACAAAGATCTATAATTTTTATTTTGCTTGTTGCAAAGCAAAATGACCCATGGAGTATGAGTGGGTTGGATATGTAGGTTATTTGTCAACATGGCTTTTCCCCCAAAAATCTTTCCCCAGCTAGGCAAAGATTGGTTGACGTACATTTGAACATGCGTCTGCGAAATAGTTGCCAGACAAAACCTGGCCGCTGCCGTGTAGTCCTCTGATGAGCCTCTGTTCTGACATGCTGCACTGATTCTGTGGGAAGCACTCCACCTAGAAACAAAAGAAATGAGAAAAGAAAATGAGAACTTTTTGGTCTCTACATGAGGCACTCTATGTATTTGGCCCCAGCACAAATCTTTTGGGTGTTTAGTAACTAGTTTATTTATTACTGTGTTAGTAGTATGTAAAATACTAATTAGCATGAGGTTTTAAATTAAAATTAAATGAATAGGGTTTGGTGTCACTGTGTGGCAAGAGTGGATGCTGGGTACCAGCACGCTCAAACAAAGGAGCCTCTTTACAAGGGAAAACTAAAGAAACACAAACCACCCTCAAGCTCGAGGGGAAAAATGAACTTAGAAAGGGGATAGCACACAGCTTGTAGAACCAAGGTTGAGAACTGAACTTTCTCCAGTCCAGCTCACCAACCTCCCTTGATATTATCTTTTTTTTTGGATCTCTGCTCAACCTTTCCCCCTTTAGATTCTCTTTCTTTTTGTGTCTTTTCTTTTCATGTGGTCAGCTTCAGTGTTTTTTCTTTTAACTTTCTTTGTCCATCCATCCGAAAGTACTATACTGATTACCCCTCTACACAGGTGTAACGCTGAGCTGCAGTTGGTGTGAGCTTTTATGCAGCATTCTCCAGGTGCAACTGGTCAGCACTGATTAGCACTAGGGCTTCTGGGAGTTTTTGGAGCTGTGCCTAGCAGCTCTCCTATCACAACGCTCAGGCACCCTGCTGCCAGTCGGCATTGTGGCCTGACCCCTTACAATTTTACTTTTTTACTTTTGTGTAAAAAGCAACTCATATGCTGTTTCCATTTTATTTTCTTTTGCGTTTTCCTGTTACCATACAAATTGACAAACTTCGCCTGGATGATTGGTCGGCAAAACCATTGCCTAAAAGGGGATTTATTGCAAATAGTGAATGGGGCACTCCTTTCAGACATCTTTCCTGAAAACTGCTGTGATCTAGATGTCTCTGTCCTTAATAATTATAGATCTATTTCTAATTTTACATTCATGGGTAAAATTATTGACAAAAATTCTTCACTCAGCCCAGCAAATTCTTAAATTAATACTGTTAAGATGACTTCCAATCAGGTTTCTGTTCACATCACAACACAGAGGCTGATGTCATAAAGGTCTTGAATGAGATTCATATAAACACAGATGCTGGTAAAATATCTGTGCTGGTGCTTCTTAATGTTAGTGCTGCATTTGATGTCAATCATAACATTCATTTAGACAGACTGGAAAACTGGCTAGGGCTTTCCAGAATAATTCATAGCTGGTTTCGATCATATTTGGAAGATATGAGGTATTGTTATCAACAACCATAAAACCATTCTTGGGCCCTTATGGTTCAATCCTTGTATGCTTCCACTGGGCCAAATCCTTAGTAATAATGAAATATCTTACCATAGCTATGCTGATGATGCCCAGATCTACATAGCACCCTCACCTGATGACTACAGTACCATTTAAACTTTGTCACTGAAAACTTTCTCCGATTAAACAAAGAGAAAACAGAGGTATTTGTATTTTGTAGTGAGGAGCAAAGACTTGAGATCAGTGCTCATCTTTAATGCTGGAGCTCTGAGGACTAAACATCAAGTCAGAAATCTTAGCATAACAGTTGATTCACATCTGAATTTCAGCAGCCATGTAAAAGCAATAACAAAACCTGCTGTTTACCATCTCAAGAACATATCAAGGTTTGAAAATTTCATGTCACAGCAAGACCTAGAAAAACTAACTCATGCATTTATCTCCAGCAGGCTGGACTACTGCGGCAGTCTCTTTACTGGTACAACATCCTGTCACTATCTGTCTCGGTGTTTCTCTGTTTTTGCCTTTTGCTTTTTGGTTTCCCCAGTGTCATGTGTTTTTGTTTGTCTGCCATGTGTCTTTGTTTTCTTGTGCCATGTGCCTTAGTTGTTGTTGTTTTGGTCTGTCTCTTCCTTGGTCCTGCCCCCTTGTAACCTGCTCCACCTGCCTGTAGTCTGTAGCCCTGCCCTCTTATTAGTCTCAGGTGTTTCTTGTTTCCCCTCAGAATATTTAGACCCCTGTGTTTGCTTAGTCCCTTTGTCTTGCATTGTTTCTGTGCCCTGTTGCTGTTTTTACTGCTCTTAGGTTTTGTTTCTGGTTTAGTTTTGTTTTCCTTTGTTTTGTCTCATCATGGGTTTATCTGTTCTATGAACCTCTGCCACTGAGTTTCTGGACTCTGTTAAATCTCATTTAAAAAAACACAACTCACACTTGCAGCCTCTTCACTCTTACGTTACAACTGGCCTTCCCAAAACCAGACAGCTACAGGTTATTCAAAACACAGCTGCTAGAATACTTATGAGAACCGAGAACATCACTCCAGTCACTGCACTGGCTACCACAAAAGTACAGAATTAACTTTAATGCACTTCTAATTGCATAAACCTCTGAATGGCCTTGGATGAAAATACACTGCTGATCTGATTGAAGTTTAAGCTGATATGAACCCAATAGGCCTCTCCGATCACTTGGGGCTGGACAGTTAGTAGCGTCTAGAATCAGAATCAAACAGGGTATGGCAGCATTCAGTCATTATGCTGCCACCTGATGGAACAAACGTCCTAATGAGTTCAGATATACTCTAAATGTAGCTGTCTTTAAGTCCAGTTTAATGATGTTCCTGTTTGCTTGTGCCTTTGTTTAGCACTGCACATTATCAACACTTTTATTTCTTTTAATCCCTTAATTCATTCTCTATTTTCTTTTATCTTTAACACTTTAATTTGAACTTTTTTGTAACTTTTTGTAAATGAAGTGCTAGTTCTCAGGATGTCCTAAGCTTTATCATTTAATGCTTTTATTTTTCCAAGTTTGTGTGAGGCACTTTGAATTATTGCTGTATAAGAGAGTTGCTATACAAATAAATTTGCCAAGCCTCGGCTTCCCAGGAGTGGTCATCCAAAAGATTAAGGCATGGAATATTCTGGAAGACCACAAAGAACCCCAGGGTAACATCAATAGATCTGCAAGCCTCTGTTTTACAGGCGAATGTCAGTGTTGATTATTTCAAAAGCAGAAAAACACATACGCACATAAGATGATAAACTTCAACTTAATAAGATTGAGGACTTCAAAGGACATAAAAGACTCTGTCTCTACAGGATGCAGCAAAGCTAGTTCATGCATTTATTACCTCAAGGTTATTTAATCATAGACATGGCTATAACAGCAGTCATCAGTTATCACTGTGTAATCTAAATACTTCTGTCCAATGACAGGCTGTTTTTTTCCTTTTTTCTGTTTTTAGATGTTTTATATTAATGTTAAAACCTTATTCTCTGTTCATTTTGCTCTTGCGTTATTGTTTTGCTTTCCGGTGTCGAACAGAGAAGGGCAGGTTCCCCTTTTGAGTCTTGGTTCCTCTTAGTGTTTCTTCATTTAACTCAAGTTAAACTTTTACTTGACTTGAGTTAAATGAAGATCTGATCATATTTTAAGTCACATTTATGTAGAAATTCACAAAATGATAAAGGGTTCACAAACTTTTGAGCAGCGCTGTACATAGTCTTGCTGGCGATATAGCCTTGTAGGGCCAGACTTGATCTTGTAAAGGTTTTGTAACATCTGTTACATTCATGTGTTAATGTCAGGCTTGTTGGTCATTGAACAATGTTGATGAGGGCACCATACCCCCATGCTTTGAGCTCCTACTTCATAGTAGAGATGAAACGATATTAAAATTTCATATCACGATTATCATGACCAAAATAATCACGATTATCGATATTATCGCGATATTGTTCAAATGTTTTGAAAAGTAAAATAAATAAATAAATAAATACTGATACACAAACTGAAACTCGTTTCACCAACTTCTATATTAACACAAATAGAATTGGCAGCAATATGCACTTTTTGTTTGCATAAACATTAAAAAATTAGGTCAGTACATTTTTAGTATTACTTTTGTATTACTTACAATAGTTGTAATACTCTGTAAACAAAAGAACAGCAAATGTATTATTATTACAGTTATTATTGTTATTATTATTATTATTACTGTTATTATTCTTTTTCTTCTTCTTCTTCTTCTTCTTCTTATTATTATTATTATTATTATTAATTACAATAACTAGGGATTTCCCTGCATAGAGAATTAAATCTCGACCAACTCTGAGGTGGGTCTTAATGGAAAATTACTACTTCTAAGAAGTGCTGCACTCGGGGGGTTTCTGTCCGAACTGCAACCGCAGCATTAGTGTACCGTTGTGGCGCTGAACCCCTAATCAATACAGCGCACCAGGAAAAACAGCCAAAATCACAGAGGAACTGCGTGACCGCGCTGTGAGCTGCAGACAGTGTAGAACTCACAGCGTGTCTTCACCTGCGGAGCTGCTTCTCTGAAAGCATTTTAAAACTAAAACTTAAAATTAACGCGCATCTGAGCTGCGGCAGAAACACTCCTGAAGTTTAATCTCTGAAACTCTGCTTCTCCTAAAAGCAGCACAGTGTTTACTCGCGCGAGGTCCCATCTCAAAGCACACTATCCTCCCTATGTAGTGCACTTCGAGGATCATGAAATGTTCGACTAAGTCATCTATAATCAACATTAACAACAGGTTACGAATCCCCTATTTAAACTCAGCTGCTTGTTAATGACGATCGTGTTTGAACAGTAGCGCCCTCTGTAGGGGACACAGTGATTTGAGACCGTTATTCTCCTCTCAGACAGTAAATACTGCAAGCGAGACGAGAAAGGGGAGCTGCGCAGATTGAACCTTTGTAGCGTCTCGTTCCGGAGCGTGTATGAGTTAACTCAGAGCTCATTTTGGAGACTCTGCTCCACAGAAATACGTGTTAAAAGCTTTAGTTTCGATTCACAGTTGATTCATCGATTGTTTTTCTTTTTTTCTTTTTTTTTGACGCTAAAAGCTTCATTTTATATTATTAACGAACCATAAGCAAAAGTTAAACCACACAAACCGTGACATTTCTTCTATTTCGAAGTCCCCACGGACTTCTACGTTAAAGTTAACCTTGCATTCTCTAAAAAGTAGCGG